AAACTAAAAATACTCCAAAAGTCTACATCTTTCTTGGTCCAATAGCTGAGCAATAAATATAATAGAAAAAAAAAATCGCTCCCCTTTGTATTTTGCCAAATTCATACCGGTCTTGTCTAAAACAAAGAAACATCATAGTGATTTAGAAAATTTAAAATTTTAATATTACTTTAAATTACAATGTATTTTCCTGATCAGTTTATCTTTAACAATGATTCAAATAATTATAGTTTTAAAAATAAATTTACTATATTTAACTGAATTTCCCCTCCACTCAACTCATGCCAGCAATGTCATCAGCTTAAGCCCAGATCTCCTAGACCACTTGGCTGGTTCCACAAACTATTTTAATGACACCAAGGGAAAAGGGAATGGGTTACCAGAGAGAACGCTTTGGTTTTAACTAACATTTCATTCAGTGGAATGGAAAAAAAAATGTGGGAAAATGCAGAAAGTAAATAAACTTTAAGTAAAGATTACCATCTTTGAAAGCTTTTTTTTATGTCTATTAAGAACCTAGAATAAAAAAGATACTAAGTCCCCTTCTTTCTAACTTAGCAAGAACACCTTTACACATTCTTGATCCTGTCTCTGTTCTCAAATAGTTCTTCCGAATATTTTTAAAGAGTACGGACACAAAGTAAACATTGCTTCCAAGATCCAAATTCTATCAGATTATTATATGTGTTTGCTTCATCAGTCATTTTTTAATGTCAGCTAAAAGGCATATCTGAATGATGGACACAAGAAAGAGCATTTCAGTTCAAGCACTGCCACAGCCCCACAATGGCTAAACCAAAATAGGAAAAGGTAGCTTTTATACTTCCAGATATTTTATTGACAATGATTGGAAGGAACACAACTTTTATAGCTTCAAATGTATTTTCAGTTCTCCAGAGAACACTACCACTTGGTAGAAACGAGAGGACAGCCCCTACAAAAGGGGGATTTCAGGGTGGAAAGATGGTAACTTCTTTTCAAATTTGAAGTTTATTTTTTAAACAAACTTTTTTATTTTGAAACAGTTTTAGATCTTTTTAAGTGCAAAAATACACAGAGTTCCCATATACCCATACCCAGTTTTCTCTATTATTAACATCTTATACTACTAGTATGTTACATTTGTCAAAGTTGATAAGCTAATACTGACACATTATTATTAGCTAAATTTTATTCAAATTTAGTTTTTCTCTAATGTCCTTTTTCTGTTCCAGGATACTACAGTACCTTTAATCATCATAGCTCCTTAGGTGGTGGGTTTCTTAAGACTTCTTTTATGTTGACCTGAGTTTTGAGGAGTACTGGCAAGGTATTTTGTTGAATGTCCCACCATTGGGATTTATCTGATGTTTTCCTCTTGGTTAGACTGGGGTTCTGGCTTTAGAGGAAGAAGATCACAATGCTGCCCTTCTCATCACATCACACCAAGGGTACATACTATCAACATTACTTATCACTGTTGATGTTACCCTTCATCTCCTCACTGAGGTGCTGTTTGTCAAGTTTCTCCAATATAAAATTGCACACACACACACACCCCTCTCCATACTGTCCTCTTGGGAAAGAAGTCACTATGTGTAGGCCACACTTAAGGAGAGAGGAGTGATGCCTCACTTCCTTGAGGACAGAGTATCTACAGAACTTGGACTTCTGCACCATGGATTTGTCCATTCTCCTGCATTTGTTTATTTAGTCAAATATATATTAGTATGGGCTCAGATATTTATTTTATACTTTACATTATTATCCAAAGCTATTTTCTTTACTTTGTTGTCCAGCGTTGGCCATTAGGCGTTCTTTCACATGGCTCCCTGGACCTTTGACGTGCACCCAAGTTGCAGGTTGTAGCTGCTGTTTGAGCATTTCCTTATTTCCTGGCCCTACAAGATGCTCCAGGCTCATCTTGTATATTTCTTGTCCCAGGTCCTACCTATTTCTCCAAGAAGCCCTGGTTTCTTTATTGGAGAATGGCCTTAGAAACCAAGATCGGGAATCTAGTGTGTGTTCATGCTCCTAACCTTTTTAACTGACAAGCAAGGAAATACGTGTATATGCAAACCCTTGGAAACACCATCTCTATACTTATTTCCACGTGCAACCATCCATATCTACTAGTGTATTAAATATGAGTTCACAGTGATGTCTCTAGTTCTAATCCATTTCCACGTGCATTTTTCTAGCCACTTCCCCTTCCTCGTCTGTAACCTTGCACTTCAACAGTGAGACGGCTAGCTCCCACCATCTGCCATTCATTTACTCAATTGTTCAATTCTAGCATACAGGTATAGTGATACCAAAATTGCTAAACTGTAGACCCACGGGAAACAACTTTACCAACTGCGGTATTGTGTGCAGTTTCCTTTGCCTTTAGTATTATAGATTCCACACGTTTCCAAAGTTATTTAGGTCAGTGTCCTTCAGGGAGGTTGTTTCACACACTTTCATATAATTAGATTGTTTTGTCACATTTTGTATTCCACCCTGGGTTCCTCTGACCTCCTAAGTGATTATTTATTTATATAGAATAAAACAACATGAGTTTATTCTGGACAAGGGGTGTGGTGGGGGTAAGAAGGGGAGAAGCCACTGATGGAACTTGAAGGGAAACGAACCAATTTAGAGGTTACTTAAGTTTCTGTCTAAAATAGGCTAAAAAGAGAAATTTATGGAACATTACCACAGTTCATTTATTTTTTAAATGTATTGAAATCTTTGCATACAGTAAGGGACATAGTAAAGATCAAAGTCAGAAATGTAAGAAATATAGCTCTTTTTTACAATTAAACATGGATTTTTCTAGGAGCTTTCAGTAAGTTTATTCAATTTTCCTACTTGTAAAATAAGAATAAAAAGTTTCTCATCTAGGACTAAGAATTTATGATAGGTACACTGATAGTATTCTGCATCCAGAGGTAAAAATGTAACAACTATTTAAGTTTTAATGAAAGGAAATAAGCTCTACCCAGTTATATTTTTCACATAATTGTGAAATTTTATATTTTTACACAATTATATTCATAAAGCATTGCAACCCTGATAATTACTATTCACTCATATCACTAAGGAATTATTTCTGTCTAGCAATTTGAGATCCTTTGGGCATTTTAAAGTCCTTAAAGTATACAAAATTATCAGTATATACCTAGATTTATTCTTAAGCATGTGGGAGAATTTACAAAAGTTTGGTGGCTGTTCATGGAAGATAATCTTAAATAAAATCCCCCCCCCAAAAAAAGGGGGGAGAAAAAACATATTTTGAGGATATAAAAAAAACACACAAAACAACTTATTATCCTTGTACAACTGCATAAATGCCATGTCTGTACTAAAATATAACCACAAACTTCCAAGGATACAGTTTAAACTCCTACTGTGATCATGCATTTTATTAAATTATCAGAATTTGTTAAGAATCAATTCACCAAGTCAGCCTTTGCAGGAGCAAATTGTGCCCAAGGACCTCTTTAGTTTCTTATGGAAACCAGCATTTATTCATTCCCAGTCAACACTTTACATGTAATGCAATTCACAAGTCTACTCTCTTTGCAGTGAGCACTGAGCAGACAGACATGTTTGAGGCCATTAATGAGTATTTCTTCCCAATACTGTCAATAGTTTCTTATTCCCCATTATTCAATTCCAAAAATACTATCTGTGAATATAAAAACTACAATTTCCTAGTTAAGTATTCAGAGACAATATAGTTAAATCTTATTGAAAACCCATCCTTAATAAGTTCAAAACAACTTTGAAGTTACAATAAGAACACCTGTTTCTTTCCCCCTCCTAGTCTCCCAAGGATATCCAATAAGTTATTCTACAAATAAATCACTATGCTTTTGTACTGATGTAAGTTTGTACCAACCCTGCAATTTCCCAAAGGCTGCCTCAGACTCCCGCAGAAATAAGACAGGAAGTGAACTCATTCCAAGCAGGGGCAGGAGACCAGAGCGGGAGGCAAGATTAGAGGCAAGGAATGGGATAATTAGAGCTCAAAGTCAAACTGATGCTTTAAAAAAATCTAAAAGGCTTTTTGGGGGGTGGTTGGAGAGAGATGTAAGCAGTTTACCGAGACCACTGTCTCCATGAGGGGAGTCCAATGCTACAAAAGAAGGCGCTTAAACAAGCTCACGGAGACCAATGTTCCCCCAGCCTCGCTCTGCAGGAACTACCATATTGATGTGTAGTACGTTAGCACAAAGAAATAGTTAAAATAATGAGGGCTCTATAAAGTTTGATTTTAAAATTCTCATTCTCAAAATCCTGAACAACTGTTGGAGGAAGGGCAAAAAGAACAGAACAAATGGCTCCCTAACCTAAATACATCCCCTGGAAATCGATGCCTGTCAGTTTCTTCTCCCCACACTAAATCCAGGGTCTCCCGGGTTTCAAATACTACGATTCACGGCCAAGGTGAGTGTGCACTGTCAGCAGGACTGTCACACCCTCACAAACAGACCGTTTGAAGGCGTGGGAGGTTCGCATATAAAGTCCAGGAGGCAGAGCTGCCCAGAGACAGGTGCTGTAAGCAAGTCACAAAGCAGAGCTGGCTCTGTTTGGAGGCACTTCACACTGACCCAGCTTGGCAGCAGTCCACTCCCTCAGGGGAATGCGGGAGCTCTGAGGAAGTCTGTACTCAGAGACACGTACCACTCCCATCCACAGCACTGGGAGTCGCCAGCAGGGATCTTAACAGAGGGTGAGGCTGGGGATGTAATCATGAGGCTTGCCTTTTAATTCTCCTAACTCAGAAATACGGGCACTTAATACAGTAAGCTCTTCACCCTGACTGAAGGGAAGTAATCCTATTAAGAGTTGAGCATGCCTGGGAATTTACCTGCTTCGCTGTGGGTCTAAGGATTGGAGGCTGACTAGGCGATGCCACAGATGGAGAGGCAATCTTTGCAGAGTTGGTCCCCAGTCTGAGAGCGCTCCTGCAAAGGCTCATCTCCCAGCGCGGGAGATCAACAGGCAGGGGCTGCGGGGTACCCGATACCTACCTGCCACTCTGGTCTGAGGTCCATGTGACTGATCGCCCCTGGGGTTTGGTTCTGTACCGTATCCTTATGGCATGAGGAAAAGCCGTAGCTGTCTGAGCCCCTGTCTTCCTGATCTGCAAGCTCCACGTGTCAGTGTCAAACAGGAGTTCCCCACAGCCAGGAGCCAGGCTGCACCGAGCATAATAGTCTAACTGCTCCCTCCAACGATCTGCAGGCAGAGTCACAAGTTCACGTACAATCTGATTCCTGAGCTCAGAAACAACCGTGAGCTTGGGAGACCTTGTAAATTTTTCAATACCTGGCACAGCAGCAACATCCACCTCCTCAACCCTTAACACAGATAAATCACAGCAGTCCAACACCAGCAAAAAATCCTCACTCCCATGATTCCCTGTGTCACAGCAGTGCTTCGAGCTAGAAATCCCATAAGTCTGTTCCTGGTTGTCATGGTTACCATCTTTACCAGAAGTATCTCTTTCACCTTTACCACAAATTGCAAAATCACTGTATCCCATTTGAGACCAGGAGGTCCTTGTATCTGCCACAGGAACGTGGCAGGGTTCCGGCTTCCTAAATCTGCAGGCTTCATTTGACTCCGATCGGCAGGCTTCCTCGGTGGAACCACTCTTCTTCCTGGATCTGTTTCCAGACTCTAAGAAAAGCACTAAGGTGCCATCGATGATTTGACTTTCAAAATCCACATCTAAATCCAGTACATAATGCTTCACAAGTATGTGGCTGGTGTTGGCCATGAGAGGCAGGTCATCTCGAGAAGGGTCCAGCTTTATGTCCATGGTGTGGGTTGTTGAGAGCTTTGTTAAACTCTCAGAAGGGGCTTCCTATCTGCCTTACTCATTCGGAATTGTAAACGGCTGTCTGTCCAAAAAAACCACACAAAACCCCCTGATTCACAAATTATGGTTCCACAGCCTTCAGTCCCCTGCCAAAGAAGAAAAACACAATTAGACAAAATTCCGAGACCCTAAATGCTCCTGTAGCCACTGCTCCTTCAAAATGACTACCTTCTTCAATGATCCCCCAATGTGGTAGAAGCTCATGGCAAGCAGGCCGATGAATCTTTGTGACTGGCATCAAAGAAAGCTGCATTATGGGTTTCTAAAAATATTCCAATTACCAATGGAATGGAAGGGGCTTCCACAGAGCCAGAAGAATCCTGCTCCTGACTTGAATAGTCCTTGTTTTGTAATAAAAGAGCAATTGTTATGCAAAAGCATAACTGAGCATCACTGTACCTTTTGTTTTAAAATATATTAAATGTATCATTTCTAATTTTGTGCATCAAAAGATAAGTGATTGTTTCTCTGCTGTGATTCTAAGTAACAAATGTGAATGAAGGCTAAATGGCCTCATACATTTTATTCTTTGAGAGTAATAATTTAATACATATAATGCAACTCCAGGGATTAATGTACTTTTCACATTAGGACCACTCTCATATCAGCACTTCCAGTAAATTACAGGAAAATGAGCCAATTTACCAGGAGTGCATTCTAAGTATTCCTCTGAGATTGTTCATGGAGATTTTTCAAATTTATAGTTAAATACTCAAGGTATATCATTACATCTTAATAGCTGAAAACCCATTAACATTCTGGAGAATAGCCTTCTTGTGGCAAACAAAAAGGTCTTCTCATTTGAAAAAAAAGTATGCAAATACCTATAAAAAAGGAAGGAGAGAAATTAAAATGTAGAAACAGATGTTGCAATAAAATGCCCAAGTTCTTCATAAAAGTTCTGAATCAAAATGTATTCTTATTTTATTATAGCAATCCAGTTAAAAAATTTGAAATTATTTCAGTCCCTGTTGTGTACCTAATTTGTTTCAGCATATGCTGTTTATTATTATTCTTTTACCAAAAATGGAAAAATAAGTAAAAACTCTAGCAGAGTAGGTATATTTAAAATAATTTTTGTATTTATAAATATCAGGAGGTATTTTTTTTATCAACTACAAAAATTACTTGCTTGACTTTTCAAGTAAAATTGAGCCTTGCCTTGTTTATTCTGTTTAACTCCTCCTCACTTCCCTTCTGACCTTCTTCATGTCTACTAGACTCTTATTTCCCTTCCCTCCAGAATCTCATTCCAGCAATCAACGCCTTTGACTTTTCATTGTCCACCTCTCCACAGGCTATTCCCTCATGAAAATCTCGCCCAGCCTTAAAAAATCTGGCTTCCTGCAGCCTTGCACAATCTGTTTTCATGCGATTTTTCCGGTCATGGAGACCACACTTCTTTTGCATCCTTGACCTGTAGCCAAGGGCCTGCTCAACACAGTGCTCCCTAAAGAGGATCCCACACCTCCTTGCTTTCTGGACTAAGCAATGTGCCATAACTGGAGTGCTCCTGGCTTCCACCTCCCATATCCACCTGCCAAATTCTATTCTCCCTCCACAACCAGTTCAAGTGCAATCCCCTCCCAAAACCCCACCCTGCTCCCTGCTATTCCTCTCCCTACCAAACTGTACATATTAACATACATTTTGACTTTTAAGAGTAATAGAAATTGAGAGAAATCAGAGATGCAAAGAAAAATCTGAGATTACTTCATGGAAAAGCTGGTACTTCCCTTGGTCCTGAAAAGTCAATAGGCAAAGGAAGTAGGCCAGAGTGTTTTTTCTTTGCTTCATGAAAGCGACTGAACTTGTGACCCAAAGAATAATAATCTATAACAATAAAAGCATAATATGCAAGTCGACCGAACGGCCAAACAGCAGAACGACTGTCTGGACGACCACACTATGACACGCACTGGCGCCAGGCCAGCCAAGGCAGGGGCAATGCGATTGGTCAGGAGCCCCGCCATCGCCCCATGATCGCCCCGCAGAAGGAGGCCCAGACCCCTGGCGGGTGCTGCTGCGGTGGGTGGGCTGGGCCTCCCTCTGCTGGGCCACCGATCACGGGGCTCCAGGCCAGGCTGAGGGACCCCCTCGCCCCCGAGTGCACCGGGCCTCTAGCCTTCAATAAAGCCATTGGCTATGTCTATGTAATGAAAAACATGGATGTTAAAAATTCATCCTGCTGGTATTTGGGGCTGCTACCATGTAGTATTTTGTTGATTGAACTCTTTAAAAAATGTTCAATAAAGTAGAAATCCTGAATACACACACACACACACACACACACATACACACACATACACACACAAACACAAAAGGAAAATCTGAATCAGCTGAGATAGGATTAACTTAGTAGCTATCTAAACTATCATATTTACAGAAGTATAGTTTAGCATTTGTAATAGTACTGACATAACCATTCATTGTTCAACACTAACAGATTCCTTCATTTATTTCTGAAAATTAATATAACTTAAGAATAAAATATATTCCATAGAGCAGTTTTCACCACTCTGTCCCTAGTGGCAAAGAACAAGCCTACCTTTGAGTTCTATCTATCCATGCCTGTCAACATCGTCTTGTTTGCCATGCTAACTGGCAATCGTTTGGTCCTCTTCAGTGGATTCTTGATTATACCCCCCATAGATGCAATTCTAAATCTTTTCTTTTTAATTTTCCAATTCCATGCCTGCTGAATCATTCTCAGATAATTATCTGGCCTCCTACTTTACTGAGATGATTTTGAATCTCTGACGCTCCATCATGCCTCAAAGATCTCTAGTTCTGCACAACTATTGCTTTCTGCTGATTCAGAGGAAACAATAGCCCTTCTCACCAAAGCTAGTTCCCCTCCCCTGGAATCCCAGCTTTTGGGGTGTGAGAGGGCCAAATAAATAGCACTCTTCTTCACCTTCCGAATTCTAATCATACTAAGAAATGAGATAAGGAGAGAGACCAAAATATCCCAAAATATCACCAGGTTTACTGATGAAGGCTAAACTAAGTGATATGGTTTAGCGTGGGAGCCAGAGACACCTGAAAACCGAAGCCCCAAATTCGATAGATTTACCCGTAGGGTCATGGGCAATGCTGGCTCAGGTCAAAGCTCCCAGACAAGAGGTACCCTCTCGGTAAGGCAGTGGGAGAAGTAAGGACAACAGCCCTCTGTGGTTAGGACTGATGTCCAAAAGCAAATTTAAGGAGCTGAGCTGAGCAGAGCACACCCAGTTCCTTCTTCCCAAATTTACCAGAATGTCGCTCTACGTCCTTGCAGGTAGAAGTGACCAAGGAATGTTACAGTAATGAAGAGGAAAACAAGAAAGGAAACATCAGATATGGGAAAGAAGTGTTCCCGCCAACATCACCCTCCCCCATGAATTTGGAATCTTGTTTCATTTGACATTTTTTCTCTTGCCAACATTTTGTACTTTTCCATGTCTCCATCCTATTCCCAATGTTTCAACCACCCCCGGGCTGCCATCTTTAAAAACATACACTGCAATATCTATATATAAAAGTATTATGTTGTACACCTTACACTAATAGAATGTTATATGTCAATTATATTTCAATACAACTGGAAAAAAGAAAAACATAAAAAACTTTATTTGGCCCTGTTGCCCATTTGACTAGTGTTAATTTCATTGAACTTAGGAATTGAAAAACTCCTTAGGACTCTCTTAGTCCAACTCTCTAGTTTAACAAATGAAGACAATGAGGCCCGGGGAGGTAAAGAGATTTGTGCAAGGTCATCCACTTCCTTTGCCTTTCCACTGGCTGATGCTTTTCCTTGGAATTCTCATCTCCAGCTCTCATGGCCATGTCCTTCACATTGGCCAAGTCATACATCAAATGTCACCTCCTAAGACTTGTCCATATCCCCATTCTACCTTTGTAAATCTTCTTTAAGTTGTATGGACTAGAATCAATCTGTACTGAAATGGCTTTGGGGAAAAGAGAATTTTTAAACCAGCCCCATCGCCTTTGCATGTTTTCTACCTAAGTTATGTATAATGTGTAAGTCTAGTATAATGTGTTGCTTATCACACCTATTTTGTACTTGCCTTAGATTCATGGGTGACCCAAATCTCCCTTTTCTGCAAGTACATAACTCTCACTGACATCAATCAGGGTCACAGTCCCAAATTTAGGGATGAACTGAACTGACTGTGGTTGCAAACGCGTGTATGTGGCCACGTTGAAAGGCTTCTCTCATCAAATAGCAACCATATTTCTAAGCAGTCTGTTGACTTCAGCACTTTTTGCTATTATTGTGCTCCAATTTAGAATGCCAGCCCGTCTCACTGGAGCATTTTTCCATTCTCTGTCATAAACCATAGCATATAAAATTCCCCCTTTATCAAACCCGATGGTTAGTTTCCAGTGGCTAACCACGGCTGCCTCTGAAATGTGGTGTCTGTTTAAATGATCGCCTCAGAAACACCATTAAAGGCTTCGAAAAGCAATATTTAATGTACAGCAATATTTTTCTTAAGAAAGGAAGGGAGTAGGAAGAGGATCAAATACTAGACAGAGCAATGGCACAGCAAAAAAACTTCCCTACCACCTTCAATCACCCAAACAGAAATGCACACACTCACAAATGTGTGAAATGGCCTCTGAAGAGCCATTCTGGGTCCCTGCGAAGAAAATCATTTCCTTCTCCTTTCAAGCTAATAAAGCGATGTGAATCACTGTCAGGGCCCTAACTCATCCTGCCTCGTTCTATAGTTACTTCCCTCTTCCACTGGTCTAGAAACAACTTGGGACTCCTGACACCCCTTTGTGTTCATGGCCATGTTAAGTAGAGTGCACTGAACATAGTAGGTGCCCAATAAATATACACAGAATCAACATCTAAGGGCACTTGTCATTTCAATGTCTAGTTATTTACAGAACAGAGATTCCAGCCGGCACAGTTTCTAGTAGAAAGTTATTACTTAACAAACATCTTCCTCCAGACAGCTCTCATTTTTACTTCATAGGATATATCAGTACCTGTACCTCTTTATCTCACATCTGTTTTGTTTTAAGCAACGCAGGAGAAAAGGAGACATTTTTGCGTATGTGCTTATTATAT